CAATGTATGTCAAGCTCATTGGAGTAAAATAGATTTAAAATGCCGTCTGGAAATATATTTCTGAAAAATGAACTTTTTAAACGTAAAGTAATAAAAGTATAATGAAAGCTTAAGGGGACTGGGAAAGTCCTATCGCTCCCATGTTAAATTTAACAAATTTATGAACCTTTTTCTCATAAACTGTGCAAGGGACAATACGAAACCCCGAGTTAATGCTTGCAATATAACGTAATAAGCACGTCAATAAAAAAACTTAATTCTTAAGTTTCGTAAATATTGAGAAAAAGGAACCTGAAAAACTCATGTTTTTAGAAAATCTCATTTAAAAATTTCATTGATACTTTTATCGTAGATGATAAAGTTAAATTTAATGAAATCCTTCTTTGTATGAAGGACCATCACCTTCTATAGCCTCATAAGAATTTTCAAGCTTCTTTTTTGTATTTTTGCTTATTTTTCTGGCCATTTTTATATTAGAATAGTTATCGTTCTTTGTAGATAATGCAATATTTGTCTAATTCCTCCATACTTTTCACACAGTGATGACCTGGATAAATTTCATTCCTGCATAAAGTATGGAGGACTTTGTTATATTTTCCACATTAAAGCAAGGAACAGCTTCATAAACACCAAATTTTAAAGTTTTGGTGGTAACAAATGCAATTTGTGATACACAAGCCCAGATGACTTTGTTCACAGATTCATTAAAATTCTGCATTTTACCATAAAGGAATTTTATTAGCAGTTCTGGGATTTGCCAAATCTCTAAGTACAAGCTTAATGATTTTCATTATTGGTAAAGAAACATACGTATGCTTGGTGTGGTCATACGTTTCGTCTTTTGCTTGGACACGATGAAAACCACATCAGCTTTCAAATCCAAATAGACAGAGTTATTATTCATCAATGAATGTTATTTCATTACTCTACAACAAACGAAAATATGCAGCCCAGATAGCTAGCTGAGATTTGACGAATCCAACATTTCTATAAGTTCCGTAATTTTTATGCAAGGTCTATTCATTTTTTAACTCGACCAGATACGCTCCCATCCCAGTTTTTACAAGCGGAAAATTTATTCAAAACACTTCAAAACAAGTAATCATATAATTTCGTACCTAAAAAATCAGTCTCATATTAATTATACTGAATAGAAAAATAGCTCAATATGGCGCTTTTACAATTTCAATATTATCATTTGATTCAATAATAGTCTTATTATCGCTGATGGTTTACCTTCCAACACTTTTATTGTTATTAAATATACTTTTATTTCATGGCATTTAAATAAGTTAACTCTTTTATACCAGTGAAATACTACTTACTAAAGAAAATATAGAACAATCTAAGTGTGCAAGACATGATGCACAGGAAATATTTTTAAATATTTAATAGTTTTGTAGGATATGTAACAAAAAAGGGTATTATACCCAATGTTTAAAAATCCGGCAAAGAACAATATAAACAGTTAAAAACTGTAAAAACCAGTTGCTATTAATTTTATTGTTACCAATTCTTCAATCTTAAGAAAATTGGAAAAGTTAAATATAGGTAATAATATATGTAAAACATTAAATGAAGCGCCTACGTCACGAGACAGGTTTGCTTTGATTTGTCCGTACTTTAAATGGTGAAAAAATTGCACTTTAAGAAAGAATAAAATATTCCAACAGTTCTATTTTTTAATGAACAAGTTTGAAACATCGTTGGAGAGATATAAAGTTTAAGCTATTTAATGATACAAAGAAGTAAAATCGAATTTTTGGTCGAATTTCACCTACCCAATACCTTAAAAAATTAAACCTACTGCACGTCTTCAGCACTTTTATCCTAACCGAGGAAGAAAATCCTAATAAATGAAATTTTTACAGAGCGATGCGGGGAGTCCAGATGTATGACGTAGCTAAGCCTTGTTCCCAGTGTCCTCCGGAAGATAAAGCTCTATGTCTAAATAACCTTTGCGGTGAGTATGAAAATCCATTCTAATAATTACCAGGAAGTTCATCTGCCACAAAGAGCACTTTGTAATAATGAAGGTTGCCTTATATTGTACAGAAGAATCATATAGTTAACGCTTACGCTCTAATAAATAAAAATAATCTTTTTTTTTACAAATATCCAGTCTTACTTGCGTTGAGATAATTTTAAATTAAAACAGTTTATTTTGAAAATTGATGCACAATGCAAAGCATAGTTTTTACATTGAATATAATATCATTATACAGTCGTAAACACATGTAAGTGAATTTTCTAATTAAGTGTTTATTTCTTTACAAAAAGTATTGAACCAAAGGTACTAATTATGCCGCAGAGAATTATGCAAACATTCAGAGTCGAAAACGTATATGTATACTTGCGAGTTTGCGGAGCTCTGGCTGTGGAAAGGGTATAAACACACGATTTATTGTTCGCGATTTGTGTACTCGTGCTCCTGCACAACATTCTCCTTGTTTCTTATAAGAGTTGGCTAAATTCGATTTCTTGACTACCATATTAATGTGGCGCTACAATTTAATCGATTGAGACAAGCAATAAGCATCCTACACTCAAGAATATGATTTTGAATGCAGTGCAACCAATTGTGTTGCAAAAATTCTCTTTGAGTGTCAGAGATTTGGTTCCCTTACTTTCCGGACAATTATTTAAGTTTTTACTTTCTCGTAGTAAAAAGTAGTAACATAAATTTATAATTGCGTCAATTGCCGTTAAATTTCTTTTATATTTTATTCACTGTTTGTGTCAAGAGAAATGAAAATGATTAAATAAAAAGGTGCTCAATTAATTATATGTAAAATTATAACTCGTTTGCATGAAAAAAGACCTTTTTAGGATCGAAGTAGTTGCTTCAATGCTGCTTCCACTTATCATAGCTAGGAAAAGAATTCCAAATGTGAATAGTTCTAAGTTATCCTCACAAAACTACTTCCTAAAGATATGCCTTGTATATCGAAGCATATGAGTTGTCCAAAACATAATGTTTTGCAATTCGAAACATATCTGATGTCCGAAACATATGTCTTTAAAAAAAAGGATTTCAATTTGTAAATTAAAGCAAATTGCGTGAAGCCAAGTTGGTGATAGAATTATATAAATATACAATGAGTGTTGCAAATTGTTTCGAAAACTCCCTCACAGTTAACAATGCGACTATCTTAATGCTTAGATTTTAAGCAATGCTTTGCTGAATCAACAATTTTCGCTAAAAATATGTACTAGATAAAGTCAATTCTTAGCATACTGCTAAGCTCAATTTTATAATCACAGGGGAAAAAAACCGCCAAACGCTCTGTTTTCAACTCGGAAGTCTCTACAACAGGAAACAAAAAGGCGTTTCGTTGAAAAGTCGAAATCCAAGGAAAAGTTCCGTTTTGCTGGAAACATGTAAATAGCTTGAAAACAGTTGAGCGACGGGAAATAAAAGGAAATAAAATTTTAAAAAATAATTATAATAAAATCAAATGTTTGTGCAAAGTTTTGAAAAAAAAAAGATTAGCCACCCAAGGTGCGCTTTTCTTATAATTTTTATTAAATTACTCAATTAAATATAAGAATTAAAGTAAACGATGAAGTATCGAAAAATGGACAATAGTAAACTTTTCCAATATTAAAATTAAAGCAAATGATAAATTATTTAATTGAATATATTTAAGCTAAATGTAATTAAAATTGAAGCAAACGATAAAAAATTGGAAAGGGATCTGGTACGCCAAAATTGATCCACCTAAAACAATAACCCCTTAGGTGGCTAAAAGCAATTAAACAACTGTGACAACTGGACAACTGTGAAATGATATTCATCCTACGCTGAGCGATTTTGTAATGGACTCTAGATTATCGACCACCTTTACCAAAGAAAAAAAAAAAAAACGCCAGTCAAGAATCTAATCCACTGTTTACAACCAATAATCAAATTTATAGTAAGGTTCCAGAAACCGGCTGACAGAAGAAAGGTAACCAGTTTGGTCATTTATCGCAAACCAAAACTTTTCGTCGTTCCTCAAAGCAGTGCGCTGAATTAGGAGCCAACCAAGAGCTAATTCATGCTCCCTTATCTATAAATAACTTGGCAAACATATTGACTACTCTTTGCCCATTAACGCTCTTAAAAGTGCCGTTCTATCGTACAACAGATGTACCTCTTGAAGATTTAGACTGAAAAGGAAATTACGCCTTCTCTTTTCTTCTGTATTCTCAATATTTTATGTTTCAGATACAAACTTTTCAAAATATAATTGTAACCTTTTTCCTTTCATATTGTTTGATTACGCTGCATCTGTAATGTCAATATGGAATCACAATATATCTTGAGTTACTATATCTTAAGTAATATCGTTATAAATATATTTTAAGTAAATTAAATGTAATTATTATAGTCGTAATTTATTATAATGTCAATCTTTTGAACCTAACATTATAAGTATCCTTTATTTTAAGCCAACGTACTTATTTTGACGCTATTTTCTTTAAACAACAACTTGTTAACACATGTTAAAAAACTTTCCAGATAAAAAATATATATAGCAGCCCGATTTAAATACAGCACTCCCTCTATAATCAGGCACTCCGGTCCTGTAAGTAATCCAGCGTTTTTACGCACGCATACAAGTTAACTACAACAAGTCGCGAGGAATTATTTTATATCTTCTTTTTCAAAGCACAAAATAAGGTACGCTATCAGGACAAAATACTAAGTTTATTTGTAGTCTTAGCTATTTCGTTTATTTGATACTTTACTAACATGTACTGTATTAGATTTTAATCGATAACAGGTAGTTTTACTTTTTAAATGCGTTATTATTAGTGATAATTCTGCTTTCACCACCATATAACTGAAAAAAAGTGCAAAACTTGCTGGATCACAGAGAGAGTACTGTACACTTAGATGTAATGAAAGATGTTTTGTGTCTTTTTTTATGTGTCCCTGTATCAAAAAACCGGCTTTTACTTTGGTCATGAACTCGAATATATATATAACTATAAATCGGCGCAGTAGGTCGGTCCCCCGCCCGACCCGTCTTAAAACACGGACCAAGGAGTCTAACATGTGTGCGAGTCACTTGGTCTCGCCGAAGCTCACGGGCGCAAAGAAGTTTATGGTTCTTGTCGGGATCCCCCGCAGAAATGCGAGGGGCTCACCGACGGCCTGCCTTGGTCTTCTATGACTTAGGCGGAGCCTGAGCACACGTTGGGATCCGAAAGATGATGAACTATGCTTAGACAGGACGAAGACAGGGGAAACCCTGTTGGAAGTCCGAAGCGGTTCTGACGTGCAAATGATCGTCTGATCCGTGTATAGGGGCGAAAGACTAATCAAATCATCTAGTAGCTGGTTCCCTCCGAAATTTCCCTCAGGATAGCTGGCGCTCGATCGAAATTCAGTCACGATCGGTAAAGCGAATGATTAGAGGCCTTGGGGTCGAAACGACCTCAACCTATTCTCATACATTCAATGGTCGTAGAGTCCTCTTTTCTCGACTTGAAGGTTGGACGGTGGATGAGAGTGCCTAGTGGGCCACTTTTGGTAAGCAGAACTGGCGCTGTGGGATGAACCAAACGCCGGGTTAAGGCGCCCGATGCAGAGACGCTCATGAGACCCCATAAGAGGTGTTGGTTGCACTAGACAGCAGGACGGTGGCCATAGAAGTCGGCATCCGCTAAGGAGTGTGTAACAACTCACCTGCCAAAGCAACTAGCCCTGAAAATGGATGGCGCTCCAGCGTCGAGCCCATACCCGGCCGGTGCCTGAAATCCCTCATTGAGGATTTTATTCGGGCACTGAGTAGAAAGGTCGTGGCGGTGGCGTGGAAGGGCGTGGCACGAGCCTGCCTGGAGCCTCCGCCGGTGCAGATCTTGGTGGTAGTAGCAAATACTCAAGTGAGAACCTTGAGGACTGAAGTTGGAGAAGGGTTCCATGTCAACAGCGTTTGCACATGGGTGAGTCGGTCCTTAGCCAACGGAGAGATCCGTGCTAGGGATATTTCCAACTGACGTGTTATAAGATGAAGGGATAAAGAGGGATATTGACGACGTCTATGAGTCTAGTAGGGAATATTCCGGACACACTTATTGAGTATGTAAAAGTTGATTCAACAGATTTTATGAGTGGTGATCTAATAAATAAAAGAATAATTTAGAATTTGTTCAGAAAATACCAATGAACTCTTTACTTTTGAATTAGAGATTACGCG